ATAAAACGTATCAATCTCGATTAACTAGGTGAGTGGACCGATTACTACCGTACCAATTTAAGGTTACCCATATTCCGGGAAGGGATATGGGTTTCGTTGATTATCTGTCGAGAGAGCCCAATGGGGAACCATGGCCGGAATCTGAATTAGATGAGAGATTTGTAGTGACTTCTATTGAAAGTTTTCACAAAGCACTCGAATGTTTGAGCAGTCGGCTTAGTGAAACAAATCAAAACATTGACATTAACATTCTAGAACATTCTGGAATAGAGAGAAAAAGAAGCCACTGTAAAGACAGCTCATCACACGGTTGCTATGGTAACCAATTTGTTCAAAACTGATCAAAACTCGACCGGAACGAAAACGGTCAAAGCTCACGTTTTCAAAGAGAACAGAATGAGAAAAACACATTGAAGCACAAGAAACAGTCGGTCAAAAACTCGGAATTAACCAAAAACTCAAACGGAAAAGATTGCATCAAAATTTCAAAACAATCGGCGGAATTTACCCAAGCGGCGTTTACAAAAAAAGATGGAGAAAAACAAATCTGGAAAGTCTAAGAAGATAATGAACAAACAAAATGGAGATCGGAGGGAGGATGAATTGACAGAGCAGGTGACGGAAACTACCTTTTTCCTGGAGACGCATGGTGAAAAGAGGAGCAGCGTGCAGTAGGCAGGACTCGGACACTTCTGATTCCGACGTGCCTCAGGTTGAGTGGAGGACAGTAAAGAAATCAAGCAAACCCAAAGGATACAAGGAAATCACATCTGGCAAATTAGCAGAGACAAATCGAATGTCATTTTGGGACCTCATGGGGGCAGACAAATCCGATAACCCGAAAAGTTTACTAAAACTCGAAGCACGAAAAGTTCTAGAAGACAGGAGCAGACGTGAACAGGAGTTGGAGACAAAAGTCCAAAGAGAGAAACCAATAATTATAGAAGTGGATCTTACAGCTGAAAGTCCGTCTGAGAGCCCAGAAGTCAGTGTGATTAAAAAGGAAAAGACAAGTCACAACTCCAGAAAAGACGACCCCTCGCCAAGGGGAGATGAGTACAGAAAATAGTCTCGACAATCTTACCAAGTTGTTCGATAGAAGTTTGTTAGCAGAGTTGACCTCGGAGGATGCTTGGATGGATAGACTTTGGCGAGTGATTAAAAGAAACGATCGTCATAGTTTCGAGTTTATGGGACCATATACAAATCCTCTCTGGCATCAACTTTCTGTGGTGGATGACTGTATATTGGTGGACAACAGGCTAGCTGTTCCGGGGCAATTGCGCCAAGCAGTGCTAAAGAGAATTCATCGCGGTCACCCAGGTCAGGAAGCGATGCTAGATGTTTCGAAATACCTGTGGTGGCCGCACATGCACAATGATATAGTCAATCTGGCGGAGGAATGCAGAAGCTGCACCCGCTATGGTAAGAATGCAAAGTACATCATTCCGAAAAATGCTACCAAACCTCTTCCACTGCTAACGCAGCCGGGTCAGGAAGTTCAGTTAGATTATGCTGGTCCACTCGAAGACTATAAAGGAAAAAAATATATTTGCTGGTAGCAATAGATAAGTACTCTAAGTTTCCGTCGGTAAAAATTACTAAATCAACAGGGGGAAAATCGTCGACGAAATTTTTTTGTTCATACATTGATATTCATGGAATACCCGAATCAATTCGAACCGATCAATTTTCCGGTTTTAAAGGTAAAACTATGCAAAATTATGGTTCTGACAATAACATTGAACAAAAATTCTGTCCAGTTGGAGATCATCGCGGATGCGGTTTAGTGGAACGTACTATACAAACCATCAAAAGAAGATTGGGAGTTATGTTACTAGATGAAAATGTAACATCAATAAAATTATTTCTTAGTACAATACTTCGTGATCTCCGATGGAGTAAACAGAAAACAATACAAATGTCGCCATTTGAAGCCCATTTTGGTAGACTACCAAAAACTGAATTTAAAATTCTGACTGATAGGTTTTTACGAAATTCTGATCGTTTAGATAAGGAACACCTGGAACGATCTGCGCTCACCGCCTCTCAACTCAAAAAGCGCATTGACCAGTCTCGCGATAGCCTAAAAATTGTCAGAAAAGGACAAAACAGCCGTGATGTGAGTCCACTATTTAAACAACAAGTTGATTTGGCTCAGGATCGGGCGAGAGCGCGGGCATTGAAGGAACTTCTGGAAGCTAATGCCAGGTGGAATCAAACCAGACGCGATACATCTGCGAATGACTTAAGACGTACGGTCGAGGAGACAAGTACGATTAACCTCGAGCTACGCAAAGAAATGTTGTACTCGTGGGAACGTGGTTTTATTGAAGATAAACCGGAAGATATCATCAGCCAACGTCAATGGTCACCCATTCTGCTCAGGAAAGATAAGGGGAGGAAAAGTAGAAAGGCTCTCACAAAGCCGTTGAAAGGAAAAGTCGTGGCAGAAACCTCCTCTACTGTCAAGACAGCAGCGGGATCCATATATCGGAAGAGTGACATTGCCAAAGCTAAGGTTGTTGTGCAGGACAAAGGTAACCATAGACGTTCCCCAACAGGAGAAGAACCTAAGAAGAAGCAACAAAAACAATCACAACGGCAATCCGACGAACAGGAGGAAGCCGAGAATAGTGGATCTGACGAGAATTTATTGCTAGAGCAGCGAAGCATAGATCCAGTAGAGGCACAGCAAAAATTCCAGGACAGCCCAACAGTGGTCACGTCAAAAGATATTCTGCAAGGTGGTGGCTTAAATCTAGCGGTGAAAAGGGCCAAACCTAACATGGCCGGACCGTTTACCAAAACATCGAAAATAAATGGGGGCACAGGCGTCAAGAATTCACGACCAACTAATCTACAGAATAAGTGCGCTGCCACGGCAGTCGAAGAAGAACCTCAGGCGTGTTCGTCAAACTCAGCGGGGGTACCAAAATCGACTTCTACTACTCACAGTAGTACAAAGAGTAAGAAAGAAATTTCCCGCAATACATCTCCAGAAACAATTCTAGTCACGTTTAACAGCAAAGAGTTAACGGCAGCGGATTGGAACCGATTGGCTGACCAAGTGCTTGAGAGAGGAGTACAGCGTACGGCGGCAGATATATTGCACTCTCAAGAAAATGCGGAAGATGGGGAAGAATCTAATAACTCTCCGGGGTTTTTGGACGAATCAGAAGTAGAAGAAACTTCTGGGCGAAAAAGCGGGAGGTCGAAAAAAGGACCGATTAGATACGGGAAACCAATTAAACATTCGGTAAGGTCGATATCATATCATACCGATCTCTTGGATTTAAAACAGGCCGCACTAGAAGCATACCGAATTAAATTAGCAAATTTCAAACCCGATGCGTCGAATTTGGTGGAAACAAAATTTGGCCTACTAGAAAAACATCTCTTTAGAAGAAAATTCGGCAGCGAGGCGCTCGATATTAACCGATCTTGGAATGCTGAGTGGCGGGTCCCACTACAATTTGAGGAAGAGCACGAAGAGAAAAACGGAAAATGATATCAAGTCAATTGCACTAGAAAGAATCAAAGTCAACAAGAAAATAAAACTCCTTAAACTGACTATTAAAACTCCTATTCATTATTATTAAAATTTGATAAAGTATTATAAAATTTTCTTGGCCGAGCGGGGTATGTGGTACCGCAACTGCTACTGCATTTGCAGTAACCATATTATGGCCTTGGCTTAGTTGTTCATATCGTTATCTATAAATTATATTATCTTATTATGTAAATCAAGGTCAATAATGCGTGACCTTTATTGATAGACGAAAAGAGAGATTGTCTCACAGATCTGTGGCTCGGTGCACAGTTGAACTCAGATGAAAAAGACTATTAAACAAAACAATACGGTTTCAACCATTAAATTAACTCTTGGAACCCACGTCTGTTTTCATTATAAACCTCAGAGGTTCAGTCAGTTATCACAGCTACTTAAACGGTAGCCGGCTATCTTTGTTTTTATTTGAGTTTTGCTGAAAAAATTTGCCCACTGAAATCTAACTTTTTTTTCTATAAACACTATAAATTTTTGTGCAGTTGTGGAGTTCGGATGTTATTTGTGGAAATGATTATTTGTCAAATCTTTCTGCATTTGTAAAAAAGGATAGCTTCTCAAAATTTTTGAAGTTTTTTATTCTCACTGGAACATGGATGATAATTACTGAAGTGTCTTTAGCCAACCTATGGAAACACAGAACTAGTTTTTCAGTTAAGCAAAATTGTTTATATGTAGTGCTTGAAAAAAAAGTGTGTTTTCTGGACTACTCATATGTGCGCATGTTTTTCAGCAAAACGATTTCATTAAAAAATGTATATTTTTTCACTGAAAACTCTACAGAATATTTTTTTAAAATGTTATTTTTCCTTTATTTGACTTTGCGCCTCCTATCAGTTAGCTAATTAAATTCTTTTTTAAATTCCAGGATTAATGACTGTTTTCATAAAATTGCCATAAAATGTATACGGCAAAAAGTGTCTTCTCTTTTCTTACCTGATATTTGACCATCTTATCCAGCACGACGACTCGACTCAATGTGTGAAAATTTCATAAATATACTGAACTATCTCAATTTTATTTCAAGTCAGTCATATGTACGGAGGCTATTGTTTATATTCAGCAGTCTGTTTTTATTTGTTTTTGACAAATTGCTGGATTATATTAAGTTTGCTGGATTGTATAATACTAAATATATTGGGATGAGGAAAAGATTACGCACTTCAGGGAAGTTTGCTGTGTTGACTTTTGGCGAAATGTCTTTTTTTCTGAAAGATGCTAGTGGAAAAAACTATTCGAATCTTTGAAAAATTCTCTTTAATCATTTAAGCTTTTTGCTTCAAAGCTGTTAACGATATATGCTTGACAAACTATTGGCGCCAAACTTTTCCTTCAGTATAAATTTAGTTTAGTTTATTATAGTTTTTAAGACCATCAAATGGTTAAGATACTGGGTACATTTTTAGAACTAAATCAAACATTTTTTTCTTACCTGTGTTTGTTCAGTTGAATGAAACGTCATATTAACAAAAATCAGTGAAAATTATTCTTTTTAAAATGGCTGGTTCAGATGATGAAAAAAGTTGTATCAGAACAATTTAATACTGTAATAAAAACTTTTAAATTTTTAGTATCGGCATGAATTGGCAGCATATTGAATACAAAGAGAGAAATCTGGTATGGTTGTTAACTTCATTACCATGCTTACTAATATTGGTAAGTTATAATTAAAGAAAAAAATATAAGCTATACTCAATTATAAATCAGTCGCATATGCAACTATTTGGAAACTGGTGTCGTTGTTTTGCTGCTGTTTGGTTGCAGTAAACTTATTTCAAACGATCATAAAATAGTACAAGACTGCTCGTATCAGGGCGAAGCAGCAGTAATAACATAAAAAATCAAATGAAAAAAAAAATGAAAATTTTTTTTTCCAAAATTTGAAATTTTTTATAAAAATCATCCCCCCACACGCCATATAAAGAACAAAAAGATAGATTTCGTTCCTTGTAACAAATCATTTATGGCAAAAAAGCTTCGTTCAACCAATTTGGAACGATTTATAAGACGGATTAAATCTCCGCTTACGCGTTAATAGCGCGAGTTATATCGCGCGTTAATTGTCCCACATTGGTCAAATTGACAATCTTTGAGCCCCCATAACTATACACAAAAAAAAGATCACGTGCGAAATAACTTTTTAAGTTATAGGTAAGAACAACAGTATCTTTCGAAGATATAAAAAACTCCGTCGAAAACTGCTCATTAAAAAGTCGAAATTTGTCTGAAAAAAACCCACCCCGAGCACAAATATTCCCTCACTTTCTTCGAAATTCGGATCAAAAATAAAAGTTAATGCAAGAACTGATTTTCAGTTTCAACCATTTTCAGCACGAAAGATTGAGTGAACATTTATTGCACAATTTAGTATCAATCAGGAGACAACAGGATACAGGGGGTTTTCAAAACAAGTTTTTTTAATTACCTCTCATTTCGGCGATAGTTAAGCTATTGAAACGATTCTTTTTGCAAGATGAAGTAAACTTTTGCCACAATCTGATTAATCATTTGATTGGGTTAAATTATCTTCTCACACATTTTTTTGCAGATTATCGAAATTGATACTGCAAACCTGATTTAAAGTAACTTGATAAAACAAACAAAACTGCTTCGATAGTTTCGAAAATGTTTTTCTTTTTAAATTTGCCTTAACTTAAGACAAAAAAAAGGGGAAAACAGAAAATTTTTAAACTCAAACAAAAGTTTTTATGCATCTATTTTTTGAGGCGTTTGGAGCCAATCAATTGTATCATTCGTTCGATTCAAATTTCGGTAGACAAAATTTCAATGGATATAAAAAACATCAAATGACTTTTCATGTAATTTTGGTCAACTTTGTTCATTTTCCTATCATTTTTAGTCTGAGTTTAACCAAAATTGAAAAAAGAACTCGAGAATTTTAGCTCTGTTTGTTGCATCATTAACTATAAATCAGGGCTGCAGTGGTTTGTCAACCTCATAAATTGAGTAGAGAAAAAGATTGATGAACAATACAGTTGAAAATTAAATTGAAGAATTAATTTGAAAAACTCGATTGCCGAGCGAAATAATTTTGAATAATTCGAAACAAGTGTTGAAAATTGTGAAATATTTGATTGACCCCTATTGAGTAAGAAAAAAGTGCTTTAAAAAACTGATCTATGAGACCCTATTTTGTTTTCAGGATGCTTTATTGGTCCTTATTTATGCATCTAGTGATTTCAGACTTGGCAAGGTAGATTTATGCATCTTAGACTTGGTAAGGTAGTTCGGGAGAAAAATGAATTCTGCAAAAATTGCAAAAATAATTTCCTAATGAAACAAAAATTGACTCAAAAAACTAGGAATCATAGCTTCTTCAGGAAAATTCTTGCAACTGTTCCTTTGACTGAAACCTCAATTTTAGATTTTGAGCGGTAGTTTATAAAAATAGACAAAAACGGTCCAAAAGTTAACAAATATGAATTTTTTCTAAAAATTATATATATTTTTTCAATATAAAAAAAGAAAACCAGCTGTAACAGCAATAAAAACAAAATTTGTTGTATCCTTTGTGTTACAAATCCTAAAAATGGCAAGTTAGTTTTTGAAAACCGTCAAAAATTTTTCAAAAAAACGGTCAAAAGCTTCGAATTTTACCAAAAAACATGTTTTTTTTTCTATTTCATTAAAATTATTTTGTGTTCATTTAAGCAGAGAAAAAATGACAGTTAACTTGAAAATCACAGAACAATATCAAAAAAAAATCAAAAAAACTTTCCAAAAATGGTCAAAGAAACAAAAATTTGATTTCCGAAAAATCAAATTTTTGACTCTTTGACCATTTTTAGAAACTTGTTGAATTTTCCCGTAGCAATTTTTCTCTGCAAAAAAGGAAAAATTATCTGATGCAGAGAATGTCCCTGAAAATCTTTTTTTCCTTTAAACTTTTGATATAACAACTGACAAACATTTTTCCGAAAAAAATCCAAACTTTTTGATAACCAATCAAAATCTCAAGTAAAGCTGGCTTTTTCGAAATCTAATACTTTTCATCTAAAAGCTAGGAAGCAACTGCGTACGCCGAGAAAGTTCCCAACATTGTTTTTCTGCATAGATTTGTTAAACCTGAGTTTGGTAGAGTCAAAATGTCTAAATGCCAAAAAATTGTCGTCGTTTAGGCCATACTTTACTTAAACGAGAAGCAAGGTCAAAACGGTTTGCGCAAGTTTGATTACCATAACTATTTTTTTCCATTGAACCCTTAATTCCAGATTTGCGACAGCTATTTTTGAGAAAAATTGTAAACGTATCGAAAATTGACCAAACTTCAAAAATTGCTCAACATCATAACCTAAAAATTTTACCAAGAATTCGTTTTCAAAAAATGAGTAAAAACCACACAAAAATTATCGAAAAAAAACAAGCACCTTACAAGGTGCAATTAAAAGTAACAAGTTGCTGCGCAAGTAGCACAGAAACCTATTCAAAGATTATTTAACAACAACCTATTCAAAGATTATTTAATAACTTTTCGAACTGATCAAAAAAACTCAATGACTCAGATACAACTGGACTAATTGTTTTGATTAGGTTGTTGCACTGGTTGTAACTGTTAAATCTTGGTTAATCTTCAGGGGTTCAGTCGTAGTTTAAAAACTGATTCATAAACTATAAATTATAAGGAGTGAGATGTTTCCAAAAAAATGATATTTTTATTTTACAAATCAGTTTCTGATCAATATTTTCAGTTTTTGATCAATTTAAAGAAAAAAAATTTAAAATTGCTTACACTCGAAATATTTTTTTGAGATTTTATTTTGAATATTACATACATTTTTATAAACTGATCAAAATTGTACAGCTCAAGCTCTCACATGTTCTCTCTCAAAAATTTTATTGGGCTCCCCACAATTGATTTAGTTTTAAGACTGATATTGACGCTGGTGCTGTTTTTAACTTTGGTAATGATCTCAACCCAAGCAAGCCATCAGTTAACTATTATAAACTAACTGGTTGTCTCATTTGTTCCGACCACTAAAGTGGGGAGGAACTTTTTCATCGATGGTGCTATGATTTTTTGTCTGCATTTTACAGTTTGCTCACGCTAAAAAACTTATCGCATACAAATTATCAGTTTGTGTCGAGTGATGTATCATATTGAGCAATTTTGTATCGAAATTTATTGGCTGGATGTTCGTTTTTTTTAAAATAATAATTTAGAATTTGTAAAGCGACAGAAATTTCAAAAAACTCATACACAAGTTCTGTTTAGTTCCATAGTTCCATAAAAATGAAACAATCATCAGTTTTGAGTTTTGGAGAACTTTTTTTGTGACCTTAAACTATCAATTTTCTACACCAAAGTTGCTTGTTATTTTTGCAAAGGGTTGTTTATTTTATTGCAAAAATGACTGAAGATATTTTAAGAAGTTTCAAAATTAGTTGCTTAGCACTAAATTGTCGTTGAGATTTTTATGATATGTTTTGAACTCATGCTTTTTCACTTTTTTTCTGTACCTATTTTGGCCATTCGGCCTAAATTTTTTAGGCCATGTTGTTCCGCAATGACGAAAAATTTTTGCACCAACCACAGTATTTGTCCTCAACATAGCATGTAGTGAGAAGTTTTATCAAATTTTGAAAAAAACTGTCGAATTTTAAGGGTTCTCAGAACAACCAGGACATCGAATTGATACGACCAGTCAGTGTGGTTGTTTTCCAATTTTGAAAATTCTTTGGTCAAATATTGTTTGTTCGCTTTTCTATAAAAGATCGTAACAATGGTCAATGCTATGTATATGATTCTTAGCTTGACGCTAATGATGTTTTTTTTGACACTCAGTAATGATCTCGACGTGAGCAAGCCATCATTTAACCCATCAAAAACTTACTGTTTGTCATATTTGTTCCGACAACCAAATTGAGGAGCAATTTTGTCATCAGTGGTGTAATTTTTCACTTTTTATATTCGATGTATGTAAGATTAAGTATCACTAACTATCATCAGAAAAGTTTGAGTGATGTATCTCAGAAAAATTTTTAAGTTGATCAACACTGCAATTTTTTTTCGGAATTTTTTTTTATTGTTGAGAAAATTTTGGTTTGAATTTTATTAATATTAGTCTAAGTAAGGGCAAGTAAGGCCAGCAGGTAACGCGAAAAGCGCATTATTAAAATTCATCTAATCTTTTGAACTTTAAGACCTGCGAAAAAATATTTTCAGAGTTTACCCTAGCGCATCTCCAGCTCTAAGAATTGCTTGTTGATTTTTGTAGAACTAGATGTACTCCCGTAAAACATTTGATAAAGATCTCGGATCCTGTAAAATTATCTGCACAAACCACGTACAAAACAACGAATGATATTGAAAAAAAGAAAAAAAAAGAAATTTCTCAATTTCAAAACTTTGTGTTCGAAACTTTCTGTGCTACTTGCGCAGCAACTTGTTACTTTTATTTGCACCTTGTAAGGTGCTTGTTTTTTTTCGATAATTTTTGTGTGGTTTTTACTCATTTTTTGAAAACGAATTCTTGGTAAAATTTTTAGGTTATGATGTTGAGCAATCACAAAAAAAATTTGTGCTAACCATAGTATTTGTCCTCAACATAGCATTTAGTGAGAACTTTTATCAAGTTTTGAAAAAAAAACCGTCGAATTTTAAGGGTTCTCAGAAAATTCAGGGCATCGCCTTGATACGATTTGAAAATTCCTTGGTCAAAATTTGTTTGTTTGCTTTCCTGTAAAAGATCGTAACAATGGTCAATGCTTCGTATATAATTCTTAGCTTGACGCTGATGCTGTTTTTTATACTCAGTATTGATCTCGGCCTGACTGATTACTTTTATTTTCACCTTGTAAGGTGCTTGTTTTTTTTGATAAATTTTGTGTGGTTTTGACACTTTTTTTGAAAATGAATTCTTTGTAACTGTTTTTTCTTACTTTAGAAAAACATGGCGGAAAATTTGTGTAGAGTAGTAGAGTAACGTTTTTTCTCAAATTTCGATTTATAAAACAGCAATTTCTGGACGACGAATTCAGTTTTGTAACCATCCGAAAAAAATTGACCTGTTCAGCTCAAATTGAAAAAGATATTTTCTCTGCGATCACTTTTCTCAAAGTTATGTTGGTTTAGAATTAACGCGCGATATAACTCGTTGAAGTAAAGCTAAAGCGGTGATGTTATCAGGCTCAAATAATATATTAAAGGGTTAAAGCACATTTTTTTGTTTATCTGTTTCTGACAAAAACTTGATCGTTTTGTACTTTAAACAATATCGGCATCAAGTTTCTCATCGCCAATATACACCAAGCTTGCGGCGATTGAGCGCTGGGAATAGGCAAATATTTTGGTCAAAATTTTTCAAACATGCAGAGCAAATGCATCAATTAATATATCCAGCGTACCGCATATTTTCAATAGCCCAACGCATTATTTAAATGATATCATTTTCCTATGCCAATCAAAACTCAGCATTTCGCATGTTGGCTTTTTTGCTTAAGTTTGTCATTTAATTTTAGGGGGTCATGGACCATTTGCTTAAATTAGAGGATAGGATTTTTTTTCATGGGCCTTTGATTTTGAAAAAGTTTGCACTCCATGTAATTTTACTCATCCGACAAAATACAATCAAATGTGACACAAAAGGCTTCTGGTTTTGTGGATTGATTTCTTCAGCTGTCGGAGCTTCAGGATTTTTCAATGTCTGTTATGATTGGTTTGTCTTTGTTGTTTCGGTTTTATTTTTGGTTAAACGCCGACTAAATGTTTCGGATAACTAAGAGCTGCTGTAAAAAAATTTTTATAGACTGTTCTCGAGATGATGAAAATTTGGTTCTCTCTTTTACGTTATCTTCTAACCCTGCAAAAATCTCGGATCGTGGTCTGTTCAGACGCTTTGAGGTTCAATTTACCTTATTTTGATGAATACTCGATGTTTGTTTATCGAAACTAGTTTCTATAAAATATGTTTGCTATCTAAATCAAACTAAATAAAACTTGAACTTCAATCACTGTTCCCACTAAGCAAAATGATTTTGCTTTGCAGCAGCATTTTCTTTATTTTAAAGGGTAAGTTTTCTTTCTTTTGTATACATGGAGAAAAAACTTTTCTCTTTCAATCACTGAAAGAAAGAAGCTCTTAGCATCATTTCAATTCAATTTACCAGATAAATTTCGAGATGTCTAAAAACTTTCTTTTGACAGCAAAATTAGGCTGAACTTTGTTTTTTGAAAATTAAACAATTTTCAGAAGGTGTTCAAGTTTTGCCAATTTGGCCTATTTCGTTTAATTATTTGCAATATATTTAGTGATAATACCGCATAAGTGGAGATAGAACCCGTCTAAGAAATCGTTCCAAAATAAACTAAACTATTAAGGCTTTTTGGTAAATTTAATACTGTTCTATATGCAGAAGATTTTACTTTGTACTTTAGATAGCCTGTAGAGCAATGAGTCAAATAAGGCTATATAAGTTTCCAATTTTTCTGATTTTTTTGGAAATTTAATCCTTTTTTTTAAAGCGAACACTTGCTGCATAATCTTTAAAGTGCAGTCGAAACATTCAAAGCTTTGCCATGACACAAGCAGTCTTCTGCTCCGACTTTCGAAGAAAACAAAATATTATTTCTGCTTGGTGTGTTTTTTATTCTGTCAATTTTAGGCGATCGAAATCATAGTTTCTAGTTTTCTAAAAATTTTTATGCCCAGTGAAAATATCGACTCCCGAAATTAAAATTTTAAAAAAATATATTTTACCTCCGATCATTTTTCGCAAAGTATTGGGAGTTTGAAATTTGCCAATTTGGCCATGCTCTGGGCTAATTTATGCCTCTATAAAGATTTTATTCATAATCCTGAAAGCGTAACGCGATTTATTGCGCACAAAAAAGTTGTTCCAGATTGGATTGAGGCTAGCTGGTCGTTCGTATTAATTTCTTACGACTCAAATCTTCCCAGTTCATTTTTGATATTGTCCAAAATTTATAGTTTTTTTCCCCAAAAAACTATTGGAGATGAATTAAGGGGCAGTCGGAACATTCAGGGTTTTGCTCTGATATACGAGCAGTCTTGTTAACGAGTTTACTTTCAATCAATTATAATGGCAATAGAATCAATTTAATGGCCTAAGTTTCGTAATCAATTGTTATGGATTATTATCGTCTTGGAAATACAATATTATCGATTATGATCTATTTTATTTACTTCCGGGAAGTTACTGTGGATGAAAATTTTAGGACGTCAACTTTTCAAAACGAAGATTTTAAAAAATTTTTGACACGTTTTTTATGAAATTTTCCTAAAACTAACGAATGTCTGAAAGGACATTAACTGCTCAAGATGTTGAAAGCTTTCTGTTTTTGATTCATTCAGTGGGAGTGACTCTGTGTACTGTGCCTGGATCCTTAAATTCATCTAGTGGAGCTGCAGATGGCCCCAGGTGGATGTCGCAGCAGTTCGTCTTGCCCAACTTCCTATCTTTCTTCGGACTCAGATGTCGTCAGATGAAGTATGTGCAGGTATAAGATTCCTTGAGCAAAAGGAGAACTTCAGAATCAGACGCTTTTTCATATCGATAGCTTACTTAGGAAAAATTTCGTTATTGGGTATACTTTGGCCAATTAATTGGATAAATCACAAGAAAAACAAAAAATAATCTGGCACCATATACCGAGTTTTCTGACACACCAAGAGTTATACATCAGTTCCCATGCCCAATTAATTATAGTTTGCTTAATTTGATTGAAACTCCAGTCTTGCCTAGTCTTGCATCTTCTTAAAACCTACACTGGAGTTGAAAAACAAAATGGTTCCCATTAACTATTATAAATTCGAAACTTGAAGGTAAAAAGATATTTCTTCCTGTTTACTTATTAGTTCAATTTTTCCATAACACAAACAGTGGTGCCTCTTGAATTATGAAAGCAGAATCATAGTGCCTGATTTCGATTCAATGAAATCAATCAAAGCCAAAATGGCAGTCTCAAAAGCTATCATGAATATCAATCATCTATATTTGGACGGAAAAAAGTACTTCATTTTCTCCTTTTATTTATTTTTTTCTTTTCTTAATTGCTCTTTTCTTGATTTTTTCAGCCAGATGTTCTGTCTGTCGGGTGTTTATTTTGGTTTGGACAGAGTGAGTGATCGGCTGCCAAGGGAGAGTGACTTGAGAGTGATAGAGATGGCCGTGAGACCATCGTACAAACTCATCAACTGGTACCCCTTTCTCAGACAAAACCCCTCAGGTATATTGTAGCAACGAACATCAGCATACGCTTCATACACTAAAAACAAAGAACATTTTATGATTTGACAGCCATTATACAATTTCTATCAGTCTGCGGTCGAGCTATTTTTTTGCATTTTCATTATTCAAGCCATTTTTACTATTCACATTTTTTGATTGAATTTGAAACCAATGTTTTTCTTTTTAACCACAGTACATTTTCGAAAACTGTTTGCCTCGAAGACTAAAACATTTAGTATTGAGCTTGTTGTGATTTGTTCTATTATGTTATTCTTTTGACCTTCGGTTTTGATCAGATCAAAACCATCGCCAATCGAGCATTGGTCGATAATTACACTGTGCTTGTTAGTTTTAGAATATACATTTCAATTCAACACATTTCTCTAGGTAGCTTAGATATCTAGTTAGAACTTTTTAATATGGTGCAGTCAAAGGAATCGAATCTGCGGAGATTTCCTTCAGTCTGGGCAAACCACCCTATGGAACCAATGGAACCATTGGAACTTCAATTGGCAATAATAGCTGAAGAAAATCTGGCATCGACAATCTTAGCGGATTGTGGGTCCCAGAAAGCCAAATTAACTTTTTGGAGCAGGAAACAGGAAGTGAGCAAGACACAGAAACTGCCAGTCAGAAAGCACGGAAAAAGAATGCGATGGAAGTACATGAATTTTTGAACATTTCTGGGAATTGTTGACAAACCTAGCCACCTCAGAGGGACCGACAAAGCGAAAGGGGTGAGATATGTCATTTTGCCCCATGAAGAATAGTGAAAACCAACGGAAGCTGTTGTCAGCAACCATCAGTCCTTCAGAAGCTTTAAGTCAGGCCTCTCATTGAAAAAATGGCTAATTTAACAATCAAAGTCTAAGGAGCATGGCGAGATCAACGACCAACAAAACGAATTTTAAGTCTTAAAAGTTAAATAATCATATAAAGAAAAAACTAAGTCTCCTTATTGAAAGAAGTAATTAATATATGGAACGCGGCAATCCCTTAACGAAGCGACACTTGAAGCTCTGTTCAGCGAAGTAATTATTTGTAATAATTGTAAACACAAAGGACGCTTTGCGGAACTCTGTATATCGGAAAACACTCGACCCACTGTGAGTAACCCAAAGGATAAAGTCTATATTGATAATCGTACTTAATTCCACTGCAGATTCCTGGAGCGGAAACCCAGAAACCTTTGAAGTAATAAACGCCTGGAATGAGAACAGTCAGAGCAACAATGACAATTTTTCAGTGCTAAGTGTAAGAACAATTTACGATCAGAATGGAATAGAGACCAAGAAACTACTGAAGACAGGGCTAGATTTAAAGATGATTATAAATGTGAAAAACCTGTAGATTCAGCAAGCCCAGTTAGTTTCGTCAAAATAAATTTATTATATGTGTTCAAGTTAAAATGCCCCAAGCTGAGAATCTACCCAGTGGAGAAACGGTTATAAGAGCTATATTGCGTATTCATTGACGACACAATCAACATCTAGGGGAAACTTACTGTCAAGACTCAATCCAAGGGGGTGATTTGCAAAGAAAATCCCTTCTGCATCATGAAAGGACAGGAACGGGACATTTCGGGCAATTTGCCGAATCTAAGAGTATAAGTGAAACCGAAGAAATATCCACAGCCGATCAGTCCAGTCAGCCACCTACCGGGGGAGAGTAAGCTGTATAAGCTATTTTTTTAGCAGATCAATTTTCCATGAAACTTAGGACTTCTTCAAAAGAATTGCCAACACACCCATTGATAAAAAAGTTGTTCACTTCCACTCCCCTTTTAAACCTGTAAGAAGTAAAAGCAGAAGAGTTCGGTTACGATTGCTATCAGGGTTAAATGAGATATTGAAAAAAATAGGAATCGAGGGACAAATAACAAAACTTGAGAAACGATACGAAGAATGCTTTGTAATTCCAATTAAATCACTAGATAAAGATACGGCTCGGTTAAGTTGGCATTAGATTCAAAACTAATCAACGATCAGATTTTCAAAAAGAAAAATCACATGCCAATTTTACACGAACTGATAAACACAATTGCGTTCAGCTGTCGAAAAATCCGGCCAGCCGACCAGTGGGTCTGCTTTGGTAAACTCAATCTAAAAAACACATAGAGTCAACTCAAGTTTTGCGAGAAAAACAAATAAACATTGTAGCTTCGCCATCATAGGGCCACTTTTAAACTGTTTTTATGGACAGGGCAAAAAACCAAATGAAATTCAAAGAGTCATGGAATGACTTTTAAAACGGAGAACGTTCACAAAATGTTACGTACACGATATACTATTAGCTTATGAGAGAACCATAGGAAAAAATAGATCAATTGTGCAACGAATTTTTTCTGTCTTAAAAAAATATTACGGAAATATTATGCGGAAAAAACAGAATTGTTGGGTTTCAAAACTCTGGTTTTAGGTCGGTAAAGCTGACGCAATAAGAAACCTCCGAATACTAACGAATATCTCCGAATTTCATTCAATTTTCTGTTTCATGAGCCAATAATTTGAATCCGTCCCAAATCTTTCAGTTTTGAGTTCGCCGCTACAAACTCTTCTGATCAAAATTAGTGTATCATTGGGACAAAATCCACTCGATGGCGTTAAAGAAACTGAAAGCAGAAATTGTAATTAAAACAGAAAAAACCACTTCGCCATAAAAGAAAAGGCAAGACTGAAGACAGACGTCTCACATATTGGGTGCTACCCTTGGAAAAATTCCAGCAGGGAGTATAAAACATTGCATTCTCTTCAAGATTTTTAAATGGCCGTGTAACGAAAAACTCAACCAACGATTTGGGTTTTTTACGCGTAGTATGGGCCGCCAAACCTTTAAAATTACCTTTATGACTCAGAATCCGAAACTGTTTCAGACCATCAGGCGTTACTGTCAGCCCTTTGACCAAATCATAGTAACATCACAATGGACAGTACACAAACCCATTGGATAAACGGTTTTTCTATTTTTCAATTTCAAAAGTTTTCATTCACCTGGAAAAAAATGGATTTTACAAATCTTATTTCTAGATTTACTTCTGGCAAATTTGTTACTTCCTCCTATTTTGGCGAAGAATTTGTCGTAGTTGCTATAGACAAAACTCGGGAAAAACATCTAATAGAACTTGTATTAAATCCTTAAACCAATTTAGTTGATCAAACTTCCGTCGCTGTAAAGGCAATTAAAAATCATAAAATCCCGCGGCAAGCGGAAAAATCGAGCAGTCTATTTGGCAGATTTTAATGAGAGCGCAATAGTTTCTTATATGCTTAGAATTTTTGCTGATATTATCTCGTGTATTGCTCAGTCAAAAAAAACTTGCATTAATTTTTATGCTAGTGCGGAGAATTGTTCATCTAATTGCTAAATCTGGATAAACCAAAATTTAATATTAAAACATTTTCATTTACGAACAAAGCGTTACTTCATCTCATTTGGTTAAACTAGTACCAACAGATCAGAGAAAGCCAAAAAATCAGAAGCTTTAGTAATTGTCCATGAGGTACCCAACAAAGCCCTTAAGTTTAAAGATGCACCTTATCACAACGCGAATCATCTGCGACCTGATAGGAACAATGAAGAGTCACCGACCGATGAGCACACTCGGAATATACATGAGAAACTTTGAGAAGGATCGTCATAGAATAGACGAAACCTTAATTTTGTTTAACAAATTAAGCGAGAAAACAAGAAAATAAAGTAACTAGCATATTAGGGGGCGGCGCCACAGGCACGTGTCACTTTTAAGCTTGTGTTATGGACAGGGTGAAACGTCTAATGAACTTCAAAGAGTCATGGACTGACTTTTAATAGCGGGGACGTTCAGAAACTGTTACGTAGACGATATACTATTACTCAATGAGGGAACCATAGGAAAAGTTAGATCAATTGTGCAAGGAATTTTTTCTGTCTTAAAAAAATAATATAGCAATAAAACGGAAAAATGTGCTTTTTTTAAAAGTAAATAGATTGGTTGGGTTTCGAAACTCTTAAGCCAGAATTTGATTTGAGGTCGGTAAAGCAGACGCAAAAACCTTCGAATAGCGAGAAACATCTCCGAATTTCATTCAGTTTTCTGTTTCAAGAAACCAATAGTTTGAATTTGTACCAAATATTTCAGTTTTGAGTTCACCGTTACGAACTCTGCTGAATCAAAGTTAGTGTACCATTGTGACAAAATCCACTCGATGGCAATAAAGAAACTGAAAGCAGAAACTATAAATATTAAAGAAAAGAGCGACTTCGCCATAAAACAAAAAACAAGACTGAAGACGGACGCCTCCCATGTTGGGTGCTACCCTAGAACAATTTCAACAGGGAGTATAAAACCATTGCATTGTCTTCAAGATTTTCAAATGGCCGTGTAACGAAATACTCGACCAGCCATTTGGAATCTTTAGCCGTAGTATTGGCCGCCAATTATATAAAACTGTCTCTGTGGCTGAGAACCCGAAATTGGTAAGAGATCAAAACTAGTCAACAATAAGATTTTCAAAAAGAAAAATCACATGCCAATTTTACACGAACTGATAAATACAATTGCGTTCAGCTATCGAAAAATCCGACCAGCCAACCAGTGGGTCTGCTTTGGTAAACTCAATCTAAAAAACACATAAAGTCAACTCAAGTTTTGCGAGAAAAACAAATAAACATTGTAGCTTCGCCATCATAGGGGCGGCACCACAGGCAAGTGCCACTTTTAAACTGTTTTTATGGACAGGGCAAAAAACCAAATTAAATTCAAAGAGTCATGGAATGACTTTTAAAACGGAGAACGTTCACAAAATGTTACGTACACGATATACTATTAGCTTATGAGAGAACCATAGGAAAAAATGGATCAATTGTGCAACGAATTTTTTCTGTCTTAAAAAAAAATATTACGGAAATATTATGCGGAAAAAACAGAATTGTTGGGTTTCAAAACTCTGTTCTTAGGTCGGTAAAGCTGATGCAATAAGAAACCTCCGAATACTAACGAATATCTCCGAATTTCATTCA